AATACTACCGCATATCTAGTAGCCTCTCGAGACTTCAGGAAGGGACGTGAACGTTCTAGAAGTTCATGACGTGTTACTAGCGTCACGTGACTTCCGCTGTCGTAACAATATTCATCATTATTTTTAGGAAAGTTAGTAGTGTTTTATCATTAGCTTTATAATAAAGATGAAAATATTTTGTTTAGGTTTGTCTGTTGTTAAGTGTAAAGCTATACGATGGACTATCTGCGCTGTATTCACCACGAGTATCGAAACCCGGTTTTTAGCGTTATGAGTCTTTAGACATAACACTGAACCATTCGGTTTATAAAAAAGATTAAAATATTATAGTACTATATTCATGATAAACATCAAATTATTTTATAGTGTTACGATAAAGATGAAAATATTTCATAGGGTTTGATTTAAGATAAAAGAAGAAATGTTTTAGTGTTAGATTTATAATAAAGATGGAAACATTTTAGTAATAGATTTATGATAAAGACAAAATATTTTATAGGGTTAGATTTATAATCACGATTAAAATGTTTTACTGCTAGACTTACGATGAAGATCAAAATGTTTTATAATGGTATATTTACGATAAGTATCCAAATATTTTATAAGATAAATAAGAATTTTTTTTATTTGAAATATACGATATATTTTAAAATATGTTATAGTTTTACATTTATTACAAAACTAAAACTACTTTGTATTATTAGATTTAGAATAAAGATGAAAATATCTAAATTAGATTTATGATTATTCATTTGTTTGTTGTTAACCCTATCTCTACGGATCTTTCTATGGTCACGAGTCAAAGGCCATGTCATCGCGTTTGTAGACTCGCATTCAAAACTTTATTGGACTACTGTTTTATGAATGTATATCAATAAGTTTGGAATCAAATTTTAAATCACAATTTAAATTCTAGTAGGATCCATTAGTTAATTTCTTAATTTAATAGTAAATATTAAAAAAAATCCTAAATATCGATTTTTGTGTGTCACTTGGCATGTTGAATGCAGCATTGGTTCAAATTAAATGTTTGTGATGCACAAATACGAAGTCTATAGTTACTTATGAATAAGGAACTCAAATTACCGACATTGACAAGCTAGAATCTAAGATAAGAGCCTCATATATTTTCTATTTTCTGAGATATTGCCCCCCAGAGGCACAACGGTATGTCTGTGGACTTCACTGCAAGAAACCGGGTTTCGATACCCGCGGTGAGCAGAGCACAGATATCCAAATTCTGAGATATTAATACATTTATGGAATCAACCAAGATAGCTCCGCCTATATCTTGCATTTTTTGAAAATACTTGCTTAGCATACCTACTTCGCTAATGATGTGTGTATAGCTAACAGAAAGCTCAGAATGTCCCCTTAGTGGTTTTCTCGGCTTTTGTGAAGTATTTACACGGGAAAGTTTTTCTTTCCATGCTAGATTTCAAACTGCAAGGTAAGTGAGCTCGAAATTTCATATTCTTTTTGTCCCAAATACAGTTTAGTTACTAAACTTGATAAATTATAGTGGAATTCTATGGTATTGGTGTAGTAATTTTTGGTTATTTCAAAATGTCCTTAAAAGAATTAAATTATTTCGTTTCACATCCTCCACATGCGAATTTTAATAAGGCTTATCAACCTACGGCAAGCAGCAAACGAGTTCAAAGTTCGTAACTAGAAGAGATAATTATTTTCTATAATACTTTATTTACTGTTCTATATTTTAAGAAAATAACTGAAATTTAAGAACTTATTTTAAATAGTAACAATGTATATACATATATTATGTATTAAAACTGAAATTTGACTGTATTTTACAAAGTACTAGTACACTAAAACACAGCCAAGAAACGTCACTTTGTAAAGGACAGCTTAATATTGTTGGATACAGTAAGATCAGTGCACGTGCGCCGTATCCTTGCAACTCCAATAATGTCAGCCAGTCAATATAATACAAATAATAAATATATATAAATGTATAATGTTATGAAATTTAAGCTATTTAGACTAAACATTTGTGTTTTCATGTTATAATTTGTAGTCATTCTAGAACGAAAAAAAAGCGCATTTATATTTATTTCATAATTTTTTTGAGGTTACGAAGTCGGTCAAATCGAACCAACTCGTACAAAGATTTTCATACAGTAGCGAAAATAACAAATAAAATAGTGTTACGCCTCCGTTCGTTAGTTAACTTTGCCGTATAATTTCTTTCCGAAGAAACTTCAGCGATACAAGTCCTTTCCTAAATAAAACTGGT